GCTCGTCTCTACCACTACACTACCTACGCTCCTCCAGACAGCTACGCTAGCAAGCATTTCATGCCTGCTACGGAGTACGCTATCTCAGGTAGTCCTCCAGATGCCGAGAATGTCCCACCAATGGAGCACCCTGCAGCACGCCCCCGTCCAACCCCGGAGGCGACGACCGTCGTCCTCGACTGTTATGTACCACCATTGCATGCGCTCTACCCATATGGTTGACGTCAGGAATTGTAGGAGATCGACTGCATTCTGCAGCTCGAGCATCGAGGACATGGATCCATCGTTCAACGGCCCAATAGTAGCACTTGTTTTATAAAGACGGGGTCGGCCAGGGTTTGACAACGACGCCCGTTTCTTGAATCTTTGCATCTCGTTCTCCGCTCCTTCCCAAGTCTCAGATTCATATTTCTTGCCTCTATTCTCTCCTTCCCCAAGCCTTTTCACCAATTCTCTACCCCAACATGCCAAACATTCTTCCTGCAACCCTGAAGAAAGCCGGAAACGTCGTCATGGGTCAATCAAACAAGAAGAACGCTCAGCTCGCTGAGAACATGGTCGAGCCTAACCCCAAGGCTCCCATGACCACCGACTTTGGCGCCAAGATCGAGAACACGGATGACTGGCTGAGAGTCACCAGCAACGACAAGACCGGTCCCATGCTTCTCGAGGATGCCATTGCTAGGGAAAAGGTATGCGGTGTCTGTTGTTTTACTTTTTTGCATCATTCTTACTAACATGGCTAGATCCACCGTTTCGACCACGAGAGAATCCCTGAGCGAGTCGTCCACGCAAGAGGTGCCGGTGCTTTTGGTACCTTCAGACTCTTCGAGAGCGCCTCGGATGTGACCAACGCCGGTATCTTGACCGACACCTCTCGCGAGACCCCTCTGTTCCTCCGCTTTTCCACTGTTCTTGGTAGCAGAGGCAGTGCCGACACCGTTCGCGATGTTCGTGGCTTCGCAGTGAAGTTCTACACGGAGGAGGGAAACTGGGATCTTGTTGGAAACAACATCCCCGTTTTCTTCATCCAGGACGCCATGAAGTTCCCCGATGTCATCCACGCAGGCAAGTCGTCATCTTTGCCACCTCTGAGCACATCATGCTGACCAAAACCAGGCAAGCCTGAGCCTCAGCTCGAGTTCCCCCAGGCCCAGTCTGCCCACGACAACTTCTGGGACTTCCAGTATCTGCATACCGAGGCCACCCACATGTTCTGCTGGGCCATGTCCGACCGCACAATTCCCCGCTCCTACAGAATGATGCAGGGTTTCGGAGTCAACACGTATACCCTTATCAACGATAAGGGCGAGCGTCACTTTGTCAAGTTCCATTTCACACCCGAGCTCGGTGTCCACTCCCTCGTTTGGGATGAGGCTCTGAAGCTTGCTGGCCAAGACCCCGACTTCCACCGCAAGGATCTGGCCGAGGCCATTGAGAATGGTGCTTACCCCAAATGGAAGTTCGGTATCCAGGTCCTTCCTGAGTCCAAGGAGCACGACTTCGACTTTGACATTCTCGATGCCACCAAGGTCTGGCCCGAGGAGCAGATCCCCATTCGTTATATCGGAGAGATGGAGCTGAACAAGAACCCCGACGAATACTTCACCCAGACTGAGCAGGTCGCCTTCTGCACGAGCCACGTCGTTCCCGGCATTGGATTTTCCGACGACCCTCTCCTCCAGGGCCGCAACTTTTCTTACTTTGATACCCAAATCACTCGTCTCGGCATCAACTGGCAGGAGCTTCCCATCAACAAGCCCGTATGCCCTGTAATGAACTTCAACAGGGATGGCCAGCACCGCCAGACCATTTCCAAGGGTAACACCAACTACTGGCCCAACCGCCACGAGGCTGTGCCCCCCGCCAACCACTCCAAGGTCTCTGGTGCTTACGTCGACTTTGCGCAGAAGGTGGAGGGCATCAAGCAGCGCACCAAGAGCGCCAAGTTCAAAGACCACTTCAGCCAGGCCCAGCTCTTTTTCAACAGTCTGTCTCCTATTGAGAAGATGCACGCTGCCAACGCTTTCGCCTTCGAGCTGGATCACTGTGAGGACCCCATTGTCTACGAGCGCATGACCCAGCGTCTCGCCGACATCGACCTCGGCTTGGCCCAGACTGTTGCTGAAATGGTTGGTGGCACCAAGCCCGAGAAGGCTGGCCTTGCCAACCACGGAAAGAAGGCCAAGGGTCTCAGCCAGCTGGAATTCATGCCCGAGACACCCACCATCGCGTCGCGTCGCGTGGCCATCATCATCGCCGATGGCTTCGACCCTATCGCCTTCGGCGCTGTTCAGGCTGCAGTCGTTGCTTCCATGGCCACTCCTATGGTGATTGGTACCCGGCGTTCTGAGATCTTCCCCGCAGGGGCACCCAAGACACCCGGTAACGGTGTCAAGCCCGCTCACCACCTTGAGGGTTTCAGATCCACCATGGTTGACGCCATCTTCGTTCCCGGTGGGGAGGAGTCTATCAAGACTTTGACCAAAAACGGCAGAGCCGTCCACTGGATCCGAGAGGCTTTCGGTCATCTCAAGGCCATTGCAGCTACCGGTGAGGGTGTTGACTTCATCCGCACTGCCATCACTCTGCCCGAGGTCACTCTGTCCACCGACAGTACCGTGACACAGAGTTACGGTGTCATCACGATGAAGAAATCCGCGCCCGAGAGCCTCAAGGAGACAGTCAAGATTATCAAGAATGGCAAGGGATTCTTGGAGCAGTTCTTCTACACCATTGCTCAGCATCGCGTGTGGGCTCGTGAGCTTGACGGACTTAGCACTCAGCTTGCATACTAATTTGTTAGTTAACTGGACGGACTGCATAGGCGTTAGGGGCTTCAAGGGAAGACATGAGTATTATCGTAGCCAATTGACCATAACTTTCACACGAAATAATTTGTCCATGATGAGAAATGAGGATCAATTAGCATGCGTGTATCCATTTCCACCCATTTCCACCCATATCCACCCATACTATCCCCATCTGCTGAAGTACAGGATGTTGAGCAATATTCATTTAAGCCCTATATCAAACGTCATGCATGCACAATGGGAAAATGGACCGTTCTGCACACCGGCATAATTATTTATTTAAATATTGGCTTCTACGCTTCATTCTATAACTGATTATGTGCTTGCAGCCGCCGTCGTTGTGGGAGCGGCAGTCGTTACGGCGGTCGTCGGCGCCGCCGTCCCCGACGCCGTCGAGCTTCCGCCGCCGCCGCCGGAACCGCCGCCCTTGACCACGGTCGCCCGCACGACCTGGCCGAGGGTATTGAAAACGATGTTGACGAGGGAGTTGAGCGGGGAGTACTGGAACGTCTTCTGAACGAGGCCGTTGCCGAGATCCTGCTGGTTGCCGGTGAAGGTCATGTTCTGCTGGTAGTTGCCGATGATGGTGCTGAGGGCGGCGCCGCCGGCGCCGGCAACCTCCTGGACGATGTTGCCGAGGTTGTCGATGAGGAAGTTGATCTTGGAGTCGCCGTTGACGATGGAGCCGAGGAGGCCGTCGACGGCGCCGATGACGTCGTCGACGACGTCGCCGACGGTGTCGAGGAGGTTGATGAGCAGGGGGTTGAGGTCGAGGGAGGCGAGGGTGCGGTTGACGATGTCGACGAGGTTGCCGAGGCGGATGACGAGCTCGAGCTCGGCCTCGACGTCGACGATGGTGATGTTGACCTTCTCGATGCCGACCTGGACGCCGGCGTTGATGGTGACGAGCTTGGCGACCTCGGCGGCGAGGTTCACCTCGGCGCTGAGGTTGTCGACGTCGAGCTCGATGCGGCCGACCGAGAGCTCGGGGACCTTGAGGTAGACGTCGGCCGGGGGCGTGGTGGAGGGGCTGGAGGTGGTGCCGCCGCCGCTGCCGCCGCCGCCGCCGCCGCCGCCGCCGTTACCGCCGGTCGTCGTCGTCCCCTGCGTCGCGGTCGACGTCGGCGTCTGTGCTGGTGTTCCCGTGGCCTCGGGCGTCGACGGGGCCGCCGTTTCGGCGGTTGTCGTCGCCTCGGACGCGTCCGTCGCCGTCGGGGTCTGGGCAACGACGAGGGCGACGAAGAGCGCGAGCAGAAGGGAGAGAATGGAGGACCTCATGTCTCAAGACTTGGGGGGCTTTGGGCTAGGTGCTGGAATAAAAGAATGTGTGACGGTGGTAGGCCTTGAAGGAAAGAAAGAGTGGCGATGGGAGCACCAGGTGAGAAGCCTTGAGGGGGGCGAGAGGAACACTGGTGAGCTGCGAGGAGGGGGGGACTGCGCTCGCGGTGGATGGGCTTGCCTGGGGGATATAAGGCGGCATCGTGAGCGATGCGCGCGTTGTATGCCGGGAATCGTCAATTTACCTCGTCCTGGCCATTGCCGCACCCCCCCCCTGCCCCCCTCTCGCGGAGTGCATCCGGATTGTCAAGTCACCCTCATCTCGTCTCCATGTCGCTCGCATATCGGGGGCCTCGTCCGCCGGCTTTTGCATCGAGATCGTCCTTGACTGGGTCTGATGCAATGCGGGCGTACCCCATATCTAGGGCGGGTATTATGCAACGGTTCTGGGTGGGTGGTGTTGTCCTAGTGTTTACAGCCCCCCTTGTTCTCTTTTTCATTTTCTTTTCTGGATGGTCAGTCGACCATTTGCTCATCGAGGACGTCCTTCCACGCCGATGCCTCTCTCTCATAGGAGGAACATGGGCTGTGAGACAGGCAGAAGCCCATGACAGGCTGCAAGCCACCGGACCGAAGCCTGACAAATAGGGGCGGGGAGAGGGGAGGGGCGGGCAACTGCATGTGATGGAATGACAGAAAAACCTTGGAATATTCCATGTTCATACCACGGGTTCTGGGATGGGAAATGAGGATACCGAGCAAACAGTCTCTTGTCCTCATGCATGCATGAGGTATGCATGGGCTTGGTCGTGTTGCATCGGAACCGAACATGATAAACGAGGACGAGGTGAAGGGGGGGAGGGGGGTGGATATGCTTCTGCGTGACTTTCTTTCCCGTGGTAGCCAGTCGGAGGATTCGCCTAGGACGGGGGCGCCGCGTGCGGGGGGCCTTTTGAGCGCGAGACCCGGTCGTTAACGTTGGAAGCGGGAGAGAGATTAGGCCATGTCAGTGGCAGTCCAAGATATCATGCCAAGGGGGGATGGTGTTCTCGATGCAAGTGACAGCCCGGGGCCTTCGTTCTCGTCCTCGTGTCTGGGAATCACACCCCCCTCCCCTCCCATCTCTATCTGTCACTCGTACTACTCATCTCAGCCGGGTTGATAGACCATACTTGATACTTGTATCGTTGGGTTCCGCCCGCCCCCGAACGTCGTCAGACCTCGCTCGTCCCCGCGGCCCTTCCTTCGTCCAGTCAGTCAGTCAGCTAGTCTCAAGCATCACCAAACGGCCTACAACGGCCATTCATTCATTCCTTTTCGAGACTCTTGTCTGCCCCTCCCTTACCTAAAGTCATCATGATGGCCTCTATGGCCACCAGGGCATTCGCCCTCCTCACACTCTCGACGCTCGCCCTGGCGCAGGATGTGCCCAAGGGCGACGGCTACTTCGGCTACGACCTGGAGCGCCGCGGCGACAACGAGTCGGCCGTCTACGAGACGGCCAACACCAAGACGGGCATCGACACGCTTAACCCGATTCCGGACGTGTACCTCAACGCGTCCGTGTCGGTGGGCGAGATCAGCATCGAGGTGCAGAACATCACGGCCAAGGTCAACCTGGACGCCAAGGTGCTGAACCTGCTTCACTTCCAGGCGGGCGTCGACGCGCGCATCGACCGCGTCAAGCTGGGCATCTACAACGTCTCGGCCAAGGTCGAGCTCGAGGCGCGCCTGGAGAACGTGGTCAAGATGGTGGACGACGTGCTCACGAGCATCGACCTGAACCCCGTCATCGCCACGCTCGGCGACACCGTCGGCGACATCGTCAACAGGACGGCCGACGTCGTCGCCGACCCCGTCGAGGACGCCGCCGGCTCGCTCGCGAAGCGCGACCTGACGTACCGCCTCGAGAACAACATCCTCTACTCGGTCAACGACTTCTCGGGCCGGACGCACACGAACCGCGTGCTGGCGCAGAACGGCTCGCTGTACGACGTCTACCTCGACAACAACGGCGACGAGAGCGGCAGGCGGGTCGTCGGCTACTACAGCCGCGACATGACCTTCACCGGCCACAACAAGACCGTCACGGTCGACGGCCGGGTCAAGGAGTTTGAGCTGCAGTACCTGTACGCGCCCTACCCCGGCCTGGAGGCCTTCAGCAACATCTACGTGGACACCACGGGCAGGGTCGCGAGGACCAAGATCGTGGCCGAGGCCGAGGGCGGGGGCACGGCGACGGTGAGCAACGACAACGGCAACGACTGGTAGAAGAAAAAGAAAAGAAGAAAAGAAGAAAAAGACAAAGGGAAAAAAAGAGGGGAGGGGTGTGTGATTGGGGAGCGGAGAGAGCCCATAGAAAGAAAGAAAAAAAAAGTCCGGGATTCAAGGGCTAGCCGGATAAATCGAGAAGTCCATAATCGTATTTTCCCATTCCCTTTCCTTTTTCCCATTGACAAATGACGACTTCCATGTTGTCCCGCAAAAAAAAAAAAGGCGTCAGGCCCAGCATAGTGAGCAATTCCAAACGTTCAAATGTCGTTTAGGAGACGGTCGAGGAGTCTGAGCCAGTCCGAAAGTGGACAGACCTCCGACGGCATGGGCTGTCGGGTCCGAGTATCGCGAATCCGCCTGTGGGACGCGGCCTTAAGATAAGTCATATATTGCCCGGGGAGCTGATTCTCGAGAGTCGAATATTCCTTCTTTTCTCTCTCTTCTGCCACACCCACACACCCACACACACACATAAAGTCTCTCTCTCTCTCTCTCTCTCTCTCTCTCTCTCTCTCTCTCTCTTAGGACACAGTCAAAGCCGCGCCTCACAGGAACTGGATCACACGCCGACGGCCACATGGTATGCGTGATGAAGTGACGTCGAAAGGGTGGGGCTCGAAACCGCTCATATCGCCCGTTAACCTACTCCCCTCCCATTATTATATGCGTACCTAAGCCAAGCCCGGGACTTGATGCTCCGCGCGATGTAGCGCTCAGAGTTTTTCGGGCTGAGCCTTTTCTTTCTCACGGAACCGAACGGGCAGATCATCTGCCAACTCATCCACGGAGCGTACAGCGCACGATGATACCCTGTCCTCTGCTACTCGCCCCCCCCTGACTGGCTCTCAGTGGGAGAGTTGGGGTTGTAATGGGGGTGGATGCAACTGCTATCCGCCCCGTCGAGCGTGTTCAGTCTTTTTGTCGGCCGGATGGAAGATGGCGAGCTTGAGGTGTCGCTGTCAAAAAAAGACATCGATGGTACCGTAGCTTCGTGCCCGTCAAGTAATGGGCCCCTTCCAACGACGACACGTCTTTGCAACTGCGTCTCCCAGTCACGCGTATGTCGTTTGCTTCGCATACATCAGCTCCAGTCGAGCGTCTGAAAATAAACTGCTGCCGAGTTCGGCCGAGTTCGCGTCAACCGCTCCACGTACCGTTGGTGTGAGCAATCACAACGGTGGGACGGCTCAGCCCCTGAGCACCGCCGTGGAGATGCGCCGGTTATGATTCATGTTTTAATCGTGGATCGGCGCTCACAGGCTCCCAGTTGGGCTAGTTCGGAAATTTCAAAACTCGAGGCCACTGCAGGAACCGATTCTGCTAACGGAGCACCCCTGTCTTGGGGCGAGTTGAAGATGCTGAATGGTTCAGACGTATTCACTCTGCCGAACTGGAGTGTGTGTCTGTGGGTGTGAAGTAGTGACAGCGGGCGCTCGTCGAATCGACCCGAGTCGATCCGGCAAGCTGCCCACGCACTAAGGAGGTTAACTATCACGCAGCCGACGACAGAAGCGAGCTACTACACGCATTGTTTTGGCCTCGCGCGGCACCGCACCGCCCGCGGCCTATTGGCCAAACCAGATCTTGACAGACTCTGGGGGTGGTGGTGGTGGTGAGCGTTGGCGCTGCAGGTAGGTGATGCAGAAACCAAGGCAGAGGGAGATTTGCCGAGCCTCCATCACCCCTGCGAACCCCCTTGGGCCTGGCCTTTTGGTGATGCCATGCACGCACGTACAAGGGGAGATAGAGTGCCGGCCTTTTGCATCGAGTGCCTAGCCGGCAATGCGGCCATGCAAGGGCGGTTGGGCGGTCTGGAAGTCCAGGCAGACATGGGATGACCGCATCCCCCTCCTTTTCTCTACGTCAGGATGGTCTGATGTCGTTCCAGTTGAGTTGATTGCGTTCTGGCAATAGGAGAGAGAGTCGGACGTGGACGAGGCATATCAGCCAGAAATCGAACCGGCGCGGCTAGTGTCGTTTCCCCATGATGCTGTCCTAGTTGGACCGCCTGCCCACACATCTCGTCTCATCTGGGGGGAAAGGGGGAACGTCTAACCGGGCGATAGAGTCCTTCGCTTGGCGCCTCTGCTTGCTTCTTCTTCTTTCTTTCTTTTTTCTTTTTAGGGTAGCGGTACTTTCTTTCGGTTGCGGAGTTGATTTCGAAGTGTTGTCATTGGAATGGCATTTTGACGATTGGAAATCGGGGGCCCCGTATTGATGCTACCCTCGGCTAGTCGTTGGCTCAAAAGACCCATCCGTGCTGTGGTGGTTAATGGTGAATGCCTCTGCGGCACGGCATCATGAGTCGCGTTCGAGAGGGGACAATGGGTCTTTTTTACCCATACAAGAGCCCGACAGGTTGCGACAGTGTAACGTGCCCGTATCAGTCTTGGGAACCTTTTGAATAGAGTTCCGGATCTTTTTCGAGGTGGCGATGGTGGTCCCGTCTCTCGTCCCTGTGATGGCGATATGGATAGAACCAGTGTCGGATAGCTACTATAAGCAATGAGAAGGTCGGAGAGGGCAGCCCGGCCGTGGGGGATATATGGGTAAACATGGTGCAAGTGGGTAGCTTGCCAGCTACCCCACCATACCCTCGATTCGATCGGCCGTACTGTTTAGCCCTTGGACATCAACAATACCATAGTCGAAACCCCTGGGCGAGAACTGTCGCTGGGAGGAACCAGGAAGTACAAGGTCCGCATCTACACGGAGCTCGGCAGTGAATACCCCGCCAAGCTGGGGAATCGCTCGGCCTGGTTTTGTCGGACGCTTAAGGCTACCATGAGGCGTGCAAGTCTCGAGAGTCAGATGGACGCCTTCTTCTTCATCAGAATCCCGCTCAACTCCGCGACGTTCCTGTGAGCCCGCATAACGGACCGTTGTCCGATAGTAGGTAATCAGCGAAGATGGTTGTATCTTCCCTCAAGCTGTCCAAAGCCAGCGCGAGAGAAACAAACGACACATTCAGCAAGACTGGCATGGTTTCTTATCTTAACAACTCTATAGAGGGAAAGGGCTAGAAGTGATGTGTTGATAAATTCGATATGCGCTAGTCCGTGGGTCGTCCCCAGCACGTTGTCCAAGAAAGAGCCACATCAACTCGAACAAAATTGCACATGAGCCCTGCGATATGCGAAGAAAAGCCACTCTTGCTAGGAAAAGGCTTTCAATCTCCAGCTTACACACTTTGATTAGAATAAGTATCTCTCTAGAGTTACAGGGGCTATTGAAGTGTTTTTGAGGCGGACATACTTAGTTTGAACATGTCCCGTTGCAACGGCTTCAAGCTCTCGAATGGTATCTGACTGTTTGGAAGCCAGTCCGGGGTTGATATGCCACAACTCTTAGCTTTGCAACTACGCCTAATTGGTAACATCAAAGTCTTCTCTCGTGGAAAAGTCGAGAAAGAAGATATCGGCTTAATTTGAAATCCAAGAAGTTCACTCACGTGGAAGGAAGTGCCCGGCTCGCGTAACTAACAATGCATACGTTCAATACATGATAGGCGTCATTCGACGCGAAGTGTGGACATTACATTAATTAGCAATCGAATTCGTTGGAGTTTAGTCCCGTAGTCTCTGCATTTCACTATCAGAAGCTCGGACTTCCGGGAACCACCGGAGGCACAGGAGGCCGCGGCCGCCGAATCCCTTCTACAACCTCAGGTTGGGATAATCATTCTAGATCAACAGAATTCTCAACCTCGTCATTCTAACTCCGGCTCGACCAACATTCATGTCTCTCACCTCCGGCTCAGAGATATCGCTGGTGCGTACCCGCAAGTCCATATGATAGCTCTGCAATCACGGGTTGGGTCCCGAACTAAACTTTGAACAGGCGGCTGCGATCGCTGCTCTGGGCGTTGATCTCCTGGTCCACCCGATTGACACGTTGATCACTCGCACCCAGTCCCCTGCCTACAGGACGCACTATAAAAACGCCAATGGATCATTCAACCGGTCCCTCTTCCTTGGGCTGTACCAGGGCTTCGGCCCGACCCTGGTCGCCAGCATGCCCTCGGCCGCTGCATTCTTCACTATCTATGAGGGCTTAAAGAAGGCCTCTCGGGACGCCAGAGCAGCGGGCTATCTCCAGGGCGTGCCGTTGCCAGTGCTCCACGGTGCCAGCAGTGCCGCTGCCGACCTCGTGGCCTGCGCCATCATCAACCCGGCGGAGGTTCTGAAACAGAATGCGCAGGTGTATCAGCAAGGCGAAGGGTCGGCGAAACGCCAGTCGCCCACGTTGAAGATGTTGAAAACGTTCATGATGAAGCCGTCAAGGTTGTGGGCTGGCTATACAGCCCTGGCAACAAGCAGTATACCCGGGACCTCCCTGATGTTCCTGCTCTACGAATCTCTGGCGGCGAAGTTGCTGAAAAGGCTGGAGCAGAAGACCAGGCAAGGTCAGGGAAGCATAGCGCAGCAGATCCAGGTTCACACGATGAGTGCAGCACTCGCCGGCGCTTTCTCTTCCTTTCTCTTCGTCCCGGCCGACGTGGTGAAGACGAGGATGAGGCTTGTGGCCGGGGCCCAAGCATCGATCCCCCGTTTATTTCCAACTTCGGTCAGGATCCAAGGCAGTGCGATAACACATGTTGAACATGCCCAACCTCGCGCGCCTCACGGTCCCTTGCGCATGGCACGAGCCGTCTTTCGTACAGAGGGCGTTCGTGGTTTGTTCAGGGGAGGCAGTTTAACCTGCTTGGCCGCTGCTGTCGGGAGTGGCATCGGTATTGGAAGCTACGAAGGCTTCAAGCAATACTTTAGAGGCCCTACGCAAGCACAAGAAGAGCCATTGCTGTAGCCCATTCTCTGAGGGATGGATCATCCTCTTAGACATCTGTAACATTATGTAACTTTAGAGAGCAAACTTCACTCAACTCGGAGATTGCGTTGCTTTCATGGCTTAGAAAACGGACACTTGGTATATTGGTAAGAAGTTCCCGTTCACAAACTCCGGGAGAAGATGAGTTTCTGGGTGGGTTCATCTTGTTGGGGACAGCGGAACGGGTTCGCATTTCTGTAGATTAGATTTGACAAACTCTCAAAGTGTAAGACGATTATCTTTGACCCTGGAATCCCACCTGTACCACATGAATTCAGCAGACACATCTTTCCCGACAAAATACTTCTCAGAACCAAGTCAAGAAACTATGCTACGTAGACACTCTAATCCAAACTCCTGGACAGTATTCCACCCGCGCGTTGGGCAAAATTTGAGAAGAGATTTTCCTGCCAAAAGAGGCTGATGTCTCTACTTGGCCTTGGCATGAGTCCTCGCTGCTGCGGGGAGATGACCCTGAGGTGGCTCAATGCATCTGATCAGGAACTCCAAGTGATCGGTCTACATATCTGCCTCGATCCAACAACACAAGCCGCCTCATCTCAGCTAGGTGTCTGCGTATGGTGCCCTGTTGGCGATTGAGGGGAACGTGGTTAACATCGTTGTGTCGACGTTGCTCGTCCCAGTCCTTCCGCGCTCTTGTGTCGGGGCGAGAGTGTGTGGTCGGTGAGGTATCATGGCTGTTGTAAACTCTCCGACTATTGTGAAAGTCGATTTGGGAAGGGGCCGTACTGCTTTGTGAGATGAACCGATGGTGGTGTTGGACGCGGGTTGCTGGGCTTGGAGACCCCTTTGTCATTGTTGCACCTAACCTCGTTGACTCATTTCGATCTTTCTCGCCCTCCTCCTGTGGACGTGACGTCCCGGCATAGACATTGGAGCCGCTTTGCTGGTCGACGGCGAGCTCGTCGAAAGGTGTGCAGGAAATCAAATGAGGAGGCACCCCGTGTCCGAAAACCATATCCGCCACGCGGACGATCTGGTACGAGATCCAGGTGGTGAAGAATCGGTTCTTGGCGGGTGTGTCTGCGGCATTACTTTCGAGAGCACCCGGGAGATCGGAATCGGGGACATCCGAACAACACCCATTTTGGTTGATGGGAAACTTAGGCAGAAGAGGACGAGTCTGATGCCACCATCTCAACGTCCATAGGAGGCTTAACAGCGCCAGGAGAGTGGCGCTAAAGGCCACCAGGATGGCCCACGCAACAGGCAGACTTCGCTGAGTAGAAAGGAACGCCAGTGTACAGCCGAAGGGAACGCCGATGAACACAAGCAGGATAAAGATGAAAGCGGTGATCGTCCATCGGGTGGTACGCAAGGGTTTGTAGACCCAGGCATGAATATCCCGCTGCCGCATGGTGACGAGTGGAGGGGCGAGAGACCTGGTTCCGGACTCCGTATCTCAGGACGTAAGAGCTGCAATAAAAGTATTCCGATTCTTGTTGTCAATTGATCAGGTCGGGCGGCGGTGATGGAAAGCAAAACTGCAATTGCATTAAGCCAAAGAATACCAGTGTATTTACGTCAGATGAAGTTATGTTCCTAATTCCTCCTCAACTGGTTTTACAGCATGCAACTTGAAGGCCTGTTTCTACTGTCTCTTACAGCCGCATCATGTGTGACACTTTGACTGGGGTATCGGCCTTTGTGTTAATTGTCTCCTTTCACAAAACAACCCCTTTTACACGTCAATACCAGCTATGTCTGGGAGTAGCGAATACCAGAAGATTAGTTTCCCAGTGAGACCCAAACAAAAGAAGAGCACAGTTCAAAACGATAACCTGGCTATATGACGCACTCTGCGACGGGAAACCTAGCAACTTCGGTTCGCTCCAGTATCAGGATCGATGCTGTTGGAAGCGAAAGATGCCATCAACGCCGTACCGTGGAGAACCATCTTCGAGGTCATTCTGGTGCACACGTAAAGACTTCGTATACCTATCGTTTCATACTAATATATCTCAGGAATTGAGTTGCACTATCAATGTTTTTTTTGTTTTTTAGAAATTGAATTGAGAAAAATACCATATCCCGGCAAAAATAAAAATAAAAATAAAAATGTTCATCTAGAGACACATGCACTAAAAGAAGTAGAGTGATGAGAAAAAGCACACACACACACGATCCGCGAATATTATCAGTCGAATACACAACCCAAAAATGCAAAAAGAGAGGAACCCGTAAGAGTGGCTGTACCAATCGCGGTGAGGATTTGAGCCTCACGCGGGGGTCGAACCCGCAACCTTGAGATTAAGAGTCTCACGCTCTACCGATTGAGCTAGCAAGGCGGGTCTTGTTTGTTGACGTAGAACGACAAAATGATACAATATGTACCTCATTCTACTTATTTCTCGACAGAGACTACTGTCCCGGTATAGATTCTTAACTACTCATGTTGACTGTTAGCACTAAAATGCAGAATGCTTCATTTTCTGCATACTAGCGCGCTCATAGAATGTTTGGCCTGCCTTCCCATATGAGTTAGAGCATGGAGTATAGTCTTTTGAAGCATCCCCAGCTAAGCAGAGTCAATAGCTCCATGTTCAATAGCTGTTCTAATTGCTCGCATCTATTAATGGCAGACTCTGCTCTCGGTCTAAGACTCTTGAGCTGTCAACGATAAAATAAGAACCATAATCTGCTTAAAGCTCAGAAAAAGCGTCGGCACGACCTATTTCTTGATACGATCAGTTGCGAAACTCTACAATTGTCGACTATTACGAATAGTTGCACCGTTTGTGCGTGAATCCGGTGCCGGCGCACCTGCATAAGGAAAAGCTTGTATAAAAAAGAATGCGACATGTTCAAACATCCCATAACGCCCCGCTTGTAATTAGTGTAAACCCAGCGTTTTCTTTTCGACAGACACTCCTATCGGTCGCCACCTTTGCCATATAAGTTAACGGGGGCCCCATCGCCTAGTTCGGCCCTTGGTGCCTGTTGCTCCATGCCGTCTAGCTCGCTGACCGGATGCAATTCCACTCCTGCACTGGAATACTGGCTCGGGTGCCGTGGGGTGTGCCCACTGAGGGAGCTCACATTACTGTCCGTGTAGGTAGAGAGATGACGGTCGTCAACAGGCGGTGTACCCGGCTGCTTGAGCGTGAAAAAGGGCGAGTGCGGCGATGATGTGGACTGGTACGAGTTGGGGGCTGCGGTTGTTGCATAGCTGATATGAGATGCTACGCTTGTCAGTTGGTTTGTCTTCGCAAGGATGTCTGTTTCTGAGACTTACCACGTGCAGGGTCGTACAAGGCAGGACTCTGAGGCGTGAAGCCCATATCTGGGTGATGGCTGGGATGTGCGCTTTGAACAGCGGGCTCCCACGCTGGCTCTCTTCTTTCATTTCGCTTCCTGGCATGCCATCCGCATCTCCAGATCACCGTCACAATGATACCAACCAGCACAGCGGCCCCAATGGCGATACCGACGATAGCTCCCGTGGCAAGGCCGCCGCTGCCGGAGGAAGCATTAGGAGTAGAGGTTGGCGACGCCGACGACGAGGATTTGGGTGTAAAGATCGTCCGGTTGACAGCGTCTGGGCTCAGAGTCGTCGCAATAAGGTGGTCCGTCGGGCAGAGGCCGTCGGGCTCTTGACAGGGGTTCGTGGCGCAGCATCCGATGAACGGGATGTTGTTGGTGCATGTGTAGAAAAGCTGGCTGGCAGGCCTTGGGTCGTCGCATCCCTGAGGTGGGATGCTTGCGTATCTGTCCGGGTTGAATGAGGATATCCTCAAATCCTGGGTCGGGCACTTTCCGCTGCCATCGGCGCATGGGTTCGTAGCACAGCAGCCCAAAAACTCGGTCCTATTGCCCTCGCAGATGTAGAAGTCGCCGCCTCGCGGACAGCTTAGACCGAGGCTGGCACTCACAGACATTATGTTGAGCGCTGAGGAAGTGGGTGATGTTTTGTCTGAAACGTTGTCTGCGGCCTCCTCTCGAGTTTCAATGTACTAGGTGTAGAGGAGAAACGGCAACAGTCAAACATTCAACGGGTCCGATACGCATACTCACATTAAGTCAGGACGTACGGTTAAGGATGTATATAAGCGTGGCCAAAGGAGTCTGACAGCGTGCATGCAAGCTTCCATCTGGCAGGTCTTTGCACCGAACAGAGTCGAATGGGGCTGAACTAGCGGCGGATATGTCAGAATGTCAAGCTCCCTAAGCAGATATGTTGAGGCAGACAAATTATGTCCCTGTAAGGCCCATCGCAGGATGTCCCAAATCTAGCACTTGGGCCCACAGCCTCTTTCGAGAGCAGGCTCGCTTGTGATCTGGAGCAGGCTTACAGGCAGCCGAGGCGCAGAGTTTGTCGGCTTATCGGCTACGGAATGACCGGCACAAGCTGGATGGATCTGTTCAACGTGTCGTGCGCTTCATGTGTATGCCTTGAAAGCCTTTTTTTGAGGGGGTTTCAAGTTGCCTCTTGAAAGTTGTCGACACGAGCGTAGGACCGGAGCTGGACATCATGAGACTTTTTTTACGTTGCATGATTCCATAGACACTCTTGAATATAAGACAAGAGGGTCGGAAAGGGCAAAACCGATAGGCTTATTGATTGTCGATGATGCAAAAAGCTGCAGTTCTTCGACCCCCGCATTCCTTTGGGGAGGCTTTGTGGCTTTGCACTTTGAAGGATTGCCTACGGAGGCCTTGGGTGCTCAGGCGAAGGATCAAGGTGGGATAAGCTCTATCAACCCTAATGAGCAAAGCCAAAAATACGAGAGGGTCTGTCATGACCGTGAGATCAGAGCCATCCCGATTGGCAAGTTTTGCTGACACGCTGACATGCTGACAGGATTATGATGGTTGCAGTGTGGGTACACAATTTTGCCTCGCCGTTGGCAGCACAACACCGCGACTCAGCGGTTTCTTGCATATTGTAAAGGCCGGGGCAAGCTCATGAGGGTAATGGACGAAGAACGTCACATGCCAGTATACTGAGCGAACCAGTTGGTAGAGGCGCAGGGCGCACCTTGTTTGCGCCCAAGATGGATATTGTACAATTCTAGAGAATCCCATTTGAGATTGCCCATACACGCAATCTTTCCAAGTCCAGAAGTAGATCTAGTCATTATCTCTATACAAAAGAAGAAGACAAAAAAGAGAGAGATATTGTTAGTAACACCAAGGGATAGGTTAATACAGTTAACTATACGTATTAGTAGTAATTAACAAATAATAAAAATAACTATAGTTCTCTATTATACATAAAAAAAAGAAAGATAATTATTATAGGTTAATTAGTTAAATAACTAACTTATTACCTATAAATCCTTAGAGAATCTATAGCTAAATATCTAAGGATTTACTAGTAATAAGTTATTAGGGTTAACCTAATAACTCTAATATTTATCTATAATAGTTTATATTATAACACTAGTAACTTTCTATAGTACTAGAAATCCCTTATTATTTATATCTAAAAAAATAGCTAAAAAATATAATAAAAATAAAAAGCTAAAAAGTATTTAATACTTTTTACTTATATAGTCTATTATATATAAAAAACCTATTTATTTATCTATATTTCTAACTACCTATTACTAACTAGCTTTTCTAATATATTATTTAGTAATAACTTTATAAATCTATTTACTAGGTTATTACTACTATAAATCTACTATATTTTAAAAATCTTATAGTGTTTATATAACTAGTAAAAGGCTATAATATTTATTATAAGTTACTTCTCTTTTATAGTACTAAGCTTTATAAGGTACTTATAAAGTAAGTATAAGTTAGTATAAAGTATTATAGGTATTTATAGTAGTTTAAGGTAGTTAGTAATTATTATAAAAGTAGTACTAATTATATAGATAATATTAGTACTAGTAACTATTTTATAGACCTTAAAGGTAAGTATACTATATATAACTCTTTTATACTTTATTAAACTAAAGTAAATAATATTACTAGTTAACTTAAAGCTTTTACTATTAGTAGTAGGTTACTTAATAATTTATTTATTAGTAAGAACTATAATAAAGCTAAGTTAAAAGGTAAAGTTATAGTTATTTATAAATAAGTTATTAATAAATATAAAAAGCTTAGTAGTTATAAAGTTAATTAGTAAAAATTATAGGCTATAGTTAAGGTTATTAATTTACTATTTAATTTAGTAGTTTAAAGTTTTAATCTTCTTTACTATAAGTAATTAGTATTAGGTAGTAACTAAATAGTTAAAGTAAGCTTTAGGTTAATAAATAGAAGTAATATATATACTATAGGTATATTACTAGATATAATCTTACTAAGTAGTAGGTAATTTTTTATTAATAAGTTAAAGCTTTTTACCTTAGCCTTTTTAGTAAAAAGTAAACTTACTATTAGTAATAATAAATAATATACTACTATTAAAGGTAATAAAGTTATTAGCTATAAGTAACTACTTAGGTTTTACTATAAAAGTAGCCTTTTAAGCTTCTTCTTTTATAAGTAAAGAATTTACTATCTATAAGGCTAATTATATTATTTATTTATATACTAATTAATCTAAAGTTACTATTATTAGGTAATAATATTAATAAGTAAAGGTTAAAGGTTAATAAATTTATCTAGAGATTCTTTTATAATAGTAGTTATAAGTTACTTACTAGTAGGTTTTTACCTTTATAATACTATATAATAGCTTAGTTACTATTATTATTATATTTACTAAGTAAAGATAGTAAATTTATATAGATAAGTAAATAAAAATAACATAATTTAGTAGTATTATTAATTAAGTATACACTTAGGTAATATTATATAACTAGAGGAGAAATCTATATTAAAGTAGTAAAAAAGTAAAAGTAAAGATTAATTACTAGGCTATTTATTAAATAGTAAGTAACTATACAAGAATTATTTCTTTACTATTATCTATATAGCCTTAGATAATAAGCTATAATTTCTTATAAGGCT